GGACGCTGATAGCATACACATTCTCGTATATTGGAGCAGGACAGAATGCAGGTCCAGTCCAAAATTGCTGTCTGTTGCTGCCATATCGTCATATATATGTGTGTTATGACACCACTACGCCTGCACAAGAACCAACTGCAGTGCCAGCGGCAGCGATGGCCAGGCAATATGGACGAGCCATGCAAAATGCCCATATGCGCTGATCAAAGATCCAGGTGCTGATCCTGATTATTGCAGTCCGATCTGTGGATTGTGATCATGTGGCGTTTGGATAGACCGCAGCGGCCGCAGTGCGTGGTCGCGCTTCACTATGAGCAGCAGCTGCACGCGGAATAGCGAGCATCCTCCTTTTATTTTGCAAACCCCAATTTTTCCACTTCGCAAAAGAAACATCAAAAATGGTGCGTATCCATCGGGGAATCTAAGGGCGTGAATCGGATTGATGCGTGGCCGTAAACTGGACGCAGAGGGCCGGAATGTGCGCGAAATGAGCGGAAATCCCCTCCGGCATCAGAGGGGACATTTGAATGAGCACAGCCCGGAACCATAAGCTAATCTGAGGACGAATTTGTTGCTTTCGGCATTATAGGGAAAGGTTCACGGATCGTTGGCTCGTGCCGGTAAGGTCAAGTCGCAGACCCCAAGGTCGAGGCTCAGGAGAAGTCCAAGAAGGTCACTGGCCGTGCCCTCAAGCGCGAGAAGTACATTCGCCGCTTCGTTAACATCACCCTCCTCCCCGGAGGCAAGCGCCGCATGAACCCCGCTCCGGAGAAGTAAGCGTGCTTTAAACGTACCTCAGCACCGACCGTCAGGGTGAGCTTTTGGGTGTGGACGTACAGTTTTTGTTCATTCGGAGGCAATCCCGTCGGGTTCGATTAGCACAGTATGTAATAAATACGCAAGCGATTGAATATCCACGCGCGTTTCATTTTGGAGCCACTGGAATGAGTATGTGCCGAGAGGCAGTATGCTGCTATTCGAAGGGAGCTGCTGTACAGGGAGGTGGACATGTTGCATATATGTGGGACTGGGCTTTTTTAATCTGCTCACCCAAGCTGTTGCCAGTGCCGCAACAGCTGTCGGCTCCAGGAAATATGAAGCTACCCTATGCGCCACACATAATCGGCATTTCCCTGAATCAACAGCGATGTAACCCGTATATGCAGCAGGAAGGGGCTATGCGCTCAGCAAACTGTGCTGCGTCACACATGGCTTTGGAGCATCGCGTCTACACGTAATGCACGCCTGTTGCAGCGCGCTGATCTGGGCAGGAGCCAGCTTTAGACATTATCTAGCTAGCAGCAAGGGGGGATTTTCAAGAAAAAGCTGCACTTTCAATATTTGAGCCGGGAGTTGCTTATAAAAACTGAATGATTTTTTGTTTGAGCAATGGTGCTTTCCTGCTATTTTTCCCGTCTCTACTTTTTATTTCCTTTCTTGCTTCCAATCTGAATTTACGCGTATTTGTATACTTTGCTGTGCCTGGCACGCCTTTCTTTCTCGACTGACATAGTTAGCAGTACCGGCGGGGGTCCAAAATGCGCAAAAAGTACAAGACGAAATTCCCAGTTGTAAGTGTCCTGTTTTGGCGCGTTCGATAAATTGGCATTTGGTCTGCATTTCTGCAGAAAAGCACCAGGCCAGGCAAGGTTGGGAGGCCTGAGTCTCAAATTTCAAATGCAGCAAACAACATAGGAAAGAAAAGCAGTAAGCGCATTGCAGCATGCCTTCTTAAAACCAAGACCTTTCATTTCACCACGGGTAGGCGCGGATCAAAAAGATCATGCAGATGGATGAGGACGTGGGCAAGATGGCGCAGGCAACGCCGGTGCTGATATCCAAGTCGCTGGAGCTCTTCATGCAGTCGATCGTGGACGACGTGGCGAAGCACGCGCGGGCATGCAATGCGCGCAAGATCAGCACGACGCACCTGAAGCGGTGCGTGGAGAGCACCGAGTGCTACGACTTCCTGAAGGACATCGTTGAGGACGTGGTGGACGACAATGATGGCGGCGGGGTGGAGGCGTGTCTGGCACGAGTGGCTGAGATGGAGCAGACGGAAGCCCAGCCGAATGGCGAGCTGGGAGGCGGCGGCGGCGGCGCGCCGTTGTCGAAGATTCTGGATGTGCCGGTGGCGGCGCCGGTGGGGGACGAGCCCGAGGGGCAGGAGGAGCAGGAGGAGCACAGGGAGTCGGAAGATAACATGGAGGACGAGACATATAGCCCAAAGGCTGCTGGCCGCGGGCGGGGGAGAGGCAGGGGCAGAGGGCGCGGCAGAGGCAGAGGCCGTGGGCGCGGAAAGGCTGCTGCGTCAAGCGAGTGATCCGTATCTGCTTCCAGCTACTGCTACCGTCCCATCTGTTTTCCGATTTCAATATTTCCAATAACAACCAAAGCGCTATTTCATCTACGCCATATTGCCACTTTTCACCCATAGACAGCGCGCGCTCACCCGCCAGATTGCGAGCATAGCACAGCTACTAATTTACTCATCCTGAGTGCGCGTCGGCGGCTCAGGCACCGGTCCAGGCTGCGGCTGCGGTGGCTCCTCATCGCCTTGGTCATTGTTTTGCTGGGCGGCATTGCCTGGGACCTGCACAGGCATCCACAGGTGGCGGAAGCCATTCCACTCGCGCACATGGTCGAGAATTCCTTGTAGCCCTGGCTGCACATGCTCTTCCTCCTCGTCATTCCCGTCCATTGGTTCGTGGTCTCTGACGCCGACATGGGGCGGGTGGACGACCGGGCCAGGCATTGCACCCAGGAAATGGGCAAGGCGATGGGCTTCGTCATCAGCCTCCTGAGCCGGCCGGACCATGTGCGGCAAGGCGAACATGTCATTGAACATAAAGCTGTTCTCGCGGTCCTCGTCTGGGCCCTGGAACTGGCGCGTGTCGGCAGCACGCATCCGGTCCTCGCAGACACCAATCGGATAGTATACTAGGAGTCGCTGCAGGGCCGCCACCAGGTCATCGGCGCCGGCATCGGCGACCAGGCCGATCAGCGATTCGATGTACTCGGGGTCTGGGTACTGTACAAGCTGAGTGTAGTCGCCAAATGACACCTTTGGGTAGTTGTGGAAAATAATGCGACTGCTGTCGTCCTGCTCGTCTGGCAAGACCAGGTCGGTGGTGTCGAAGGTCAGCGCATCGCTGCCCACGGTTGACGCAATACGCAGCAGCTCCGCCTGGCACCGCTGCGCCAGACGGGGGATGGCCAGGCGGGCAGCAACATCCAACAGCTGCAGCCAGTCGTCCGTACTGTCCATGTACTCGGTTGTCGGGATCATGTCGTTGTAGATAAAGTAGATGGCGCGCCGCACATGGCCGTACGGCATGTCCTCCAGCTCCACACGGCGGGCTTCGGACTCAGTCATGTTGGATGCCTGCAAGGCGCTGAAGTACTCGCTGCCCGCTGCCAGCACATTAGAATGGGCGCGGATCAGCGGCTGCAGAGCGCCGACTGTGTTCTGGGGGTCAGCGACGACGATCTCAAAGTCACACTGTTGGCCGTCCATCTGCAGCGACTTTCCCGCAGCCAACAGCGCTTGCTTCAGGTCGGGCGGCTGAGGGCCGATTGGAATGTCGTCGCGCAATTTCACGCGGAAATCCAGTCCACACCGCTCCATCGCTTGCTCTCCCTCACTGGTGCGGCCCGCAACGGTCGTGCGCAGCGGCTGGCGTGCGACCTGCGCCTTCTGCCACTCGTTCGGGCCGGACGTGGCCGGATAAAACGCTACAGCTATCTCGAACCCGTACTCGCCCTGCACGTACTGCGTCAGATCGGCTGCAAACCCAGGTACCGTATGTTGGATATAATCGTTGCCGTTGGCCGGTACGCCCACGTATGCCAGGAGTTGCCCGCGGTGCTCAGCAATAGTACGCGCACGCCGCTCCAGATCGCACTCACCGCCTTCGTTGCCGGGTATCTCGGGGAAATCTTTAGCCTCGTCGGCGCTCAGCACATAGGTTGGGACTTTAGTGAACTCGAGCTGCGACAATGCCCGCACGCTCCACTGCACGTTGCTGGTTGGGTCAAACTTGGACCAGCTCAGCACCGCCATGAACCTGTCGATGGGCCGCTTCGCGACAACGTAATTGAAGCGCCACGCAAGGAACGAGGTCTCGCGCGCACTGTCCCAGTACGTTGGTGCCAGATACGACATCATCCAGTCATGCTCCACCTTGCGGAATACGCCGCCATGGCTCAGCGCCCCGTGTGCAAACCCCTTGATAAACGGCAGCGCCCGGCCGTTCTGGTAGTACTCATCGTCGGCTGAACTGTAGCTGATGCGGCTATCCCACTCGGCTGTGCTGTTTTCTTTGTTTAGCCGCGGTGCTGCGCCCTGGCTGGCCTCCCCCGGGAAGTAGTTCACTAGACGCGGTGATATCGGTAGCGACTGGTCGTGCAAGGGCCGCCAGACATTGAAGTACCCGCAAGGCATAGGCAAATCTACTTGCGCGCGTACAGTCTGCTGGCCAGAACTGGGCAGGGCTACTGAGTTGCTGGCGCTCACGGTCTGCTCGTAAAGAGAGACCTCGGTCGGATACCGGATAGGCATGTAGTAGTAAGGTTGGAGGCCGCCGAAATCGATGAGGCTCTCACGCTTGGTATCCACCGGCGGACAGGATCTGTGCTCTGCCACCGGAGAGCTGGAATGGGTGTTGTCCGTCGACATTGGTTTTGAAAAAAGTATAAAGTATAATGGTAGTGTAGAAGCAATGAAGAGAAAAGAGTGTAAAACGGAGGCGAGTTGCTGCTGGCGCAAGGAGTTTTAAAAGGGGGAGGGCCGAGTCTTGGCGAATAGCCAATGCATGCTGTGACCATCATGCCGCCTTTCTCGCTGGCAAATAAGCAGTGCCATTTTCAGATCGTCACCTGCTGCTGCTGCTGCGGCTGCTGCTGGGGCTCACTCTCAGCGACAACCGGCCGCCAGACGCGATTCACGATCCTCCCCATCTGCTTACACACCCGATTACACACGACCGCCCACACAGCCACGCTGACACTGCCCTTGGGAGCCCCAGGCATCGCCAGCACCCAGACACCCGGATAGAACCAATTCCTAGGCACATAAAACACCGGCGTACGCCAGAACCACATGCTGACAATAAACCGTACGCTGTAGATCAGCACCCGCAACGCCAGGTTCACGTATAGCTCAAACGCCGTGCGCTCCAGGGCCAGTTCGCTCGACACCGACTCGAATTTGCCCGTCAGCGCGTCCAGCCGGCGCCGCATCTTGGCCCACCGCGCAAACTCGTCTACGGAGCTGACGGTACGCAGGTCGCGACGCAGCTGCGTGATCGATGCTTTCAGCGAAAGCCGCTCGGCCGCCTTCTGATTGCCGGTCACCGTGCAGTATGTGGCCCAGAGACCCTGCGCTAGCGTGCTGTAGCCGACCGCCTCCAAGCACACCGACAGAAGCTCAATCGCAAATATCGTTAGTAGCAAGCACCCGGCCATCCGAATAAAATGTAGAAAAAACTGGAATTATAAGCGACAATTGCGAAATGGACTCTAGCAGAAGGAAAAGCGGGCCTCACTGTAGAATGGCCTGGAGGCTGCACCTTGGCGGTTAGGTGATTGCGAGATTTGATGATGGATTTCTGATCAACAGACACAGGCAGTGCCAGCTCAGCGATGCTCGTGCCACCCATGACTATTTTGCGACTCGTCGTCTGTCAAGCAGCACCGTCGTTGATTAGTGGTTAGACAGAATGCCATTTTTAGTATCGCTACCTGGGTCAGATGCATATCATGTGCACTTCACTGCTAAGCGGTACCTGCCGACTTCAATGCTCGCCAACCAGCCACACTGATTTGGTTCCACACTGGTAGGTTCTGCTGCCATCGCTACGCCCAGCACTGCCACGTTTCTACGCAGCTCTCTTTATCCACACCCATGTATCCGAAACACGAGAATTGTGGCCATGGTAATAGTGGCAATATTAAGCTGCATTGGTTAAAGATGCATTTAAAAAGTCGACGGCTTCTCACTGGCATAGCAGCGTGAACGGGCGCATAGGCTGGGTAGTCTCCAGCTCCAAGGCATACGTGGTGTATTCCATAGCGCGCGCCAGTGCCTGGTTATCAGAGCCTGGGTCTCGCTCCTCGGCGACCTCGCGTTCCAGCCTCCCAAGCCAGTACCAGGCCTCGGGATCCGACCAGCCATGGGCCCTGGTGATGTTCTTCAATAGCCCAATGGCAACATCACGACGGCCAAGCAAATACTCGACACGGGCAAGACCGACGGCCGCGCGAATATTGCCAGGCTGCAGGGCGACGGCAGCGTGGAACTCGTTGAGGGCAGGCAGGGGCTGGCCGCGCGCGAGCTCCAGCTGGCCGCGCATCACCAGGGCATCGGGGCTTTCGGGCCACGCATTGACCGCCTCGTTAATTGCATTGGCGGCCTCGTCGGTACGCTGCAGCTGCACAAACATTCCAGCCGACAGGAGCCACAGGTCGCATAGCGCGCGGCTCGCCTGCTGGCGCTGCATTGACAGATGCGTGGCGATTGGCGAATAGTACACGCTGTGGTGGGTGGCCAGGCCCGAGATGGTGCTGGCGCGCGTGCTCGGGCTCAGGCCCAGACTGGCGCGGATCTTGGCTGCTGACAGATCCGGGTTGTCGTAGTAAGCCTCCGTCGGCACATCACCCGCCAGTGCACTGTCCACGCTGCCGTTGCGCAGATGCGGCATCGACCGCTGCCGCTTCGGCTGCTGTGCTGGCTCCGCGGGTGCCGTCGGCTCGGCTGGTTGAGCCGGAGCTGAGTCGCTGGGAGAGCTGCTGGGGAAGGCTGGGGACCGCCTTACGCTGTGCGAGTGGGTGCGTGCATGGCCGGTGGTCGCCGGGTGGTCGTCGGGCGAGCCGGCCGAGCGCTGGCGCACGTGCCTGCCCAGCATGGTGCGTGCCAAGGAGCGCGCCAGCGAGCGCTTCCCCGACGTCATCGAGTGCGGCTTGCGGCTGCCCAGCAGATCGCGCAGCGGCGGTGCCGAGCGCGGATCTCCAGCCATTGAAAGCTCCAGCGCCGCCGACGCATCATCAGCGCCCTCGGGCGACGACAGTACGGGGCCGAAAACGCAGCCATACAATGCAAACATATGCGGCTGCGATTTCAGACACGCCGCCAGGCCGCCAAGCTTGCTATCAATCAGCTGCCGCGTCATCCGCAGCCGCAGGTACGCGATGCCCGAGTCGATGTCGCCGCCGCGAGCTGCCGGCTTGCTGTCCACCAGCCCAAGGTGGCTCGGCCGCGAGGGCCCGGCTGCCTGGATCTCGCAGTCCACGGCCCACCACTCGCTCTGCTTCAGAGCCACGTCGCAGATGCGCTGCGCGGTCGCGTAGTCTTTGCGCGCGGTGGCCAGCAGGACCAGCAGGTGCCAGGCCTCGAGCCGTCGAGCGTCCAGCGCCACTGCTGCCTTGGCTGAGGCCGTGGCTGAGGTAATGTCGCGCGCGCCGATCGCCTGCTCCAGCGCCAGCTGGTACTGGGCCTCGTACATGCGCGGTGCTAGCCCCACTGCCTGCTGCAGCTGCTGCAGCGCCGCAGTGTGGTGGTGCGTGCGGTTCTCGGGCTCCCTGCTGGCCTGCGACAGGCGTGCGTGGGCTGCCCCGCGCCACAGCGCCAGCTGCGCCTTGATTTGCTCCGGCACCCGCCCAACGTACGCGTTTGCCGGATCCAGCCCTTCGATCTCGTCGATCAAATCGCCTGCCGCATGGGCCAGCGCCAAGCTTTCCTGCGGATTCTGCAGGTGCACCAGATGCAGCCGCGTGCCGGTGATGGTTGTCTCCAGAATATCGTTGATTGACTCGACGCCCACGCCGAGCTGCAGCGCCCGCGGCCCGCCCTCGCTGAGCGCAGCACGCAGCGCCTTGCGCACAGTCTCGAGCTGCCGTTCCACCAGCACATTGTATGTACCGAAAGCCAGCCCTGCCTCGTGGTAGTCACCGAACCGGATCAGCGTATGCACCAGGTGTCGCATGAGCTGCGGCGAGTTATACGTGATGTGCACCGCCTGATACAGCAGCTCAAGCAGCCGCAGCGACTCGGTACGCGAATACGCCTGCGTCAGGTTCCAATCGCCTGCCGCTGCATCAACGGCTACCAGCACTTCGCTGTTGGCGTCGTCTGCCCGCGGGAACCGCATTGCCATGCCCAGCAGCGTCATCTGGTGCTGGTGTCCATCCAGCAGCGCCTGCTTCAGTGGCCGCGTCCCCTCCAATGTATACAGCGACCGCGAAATGCCCAGCAGCACGTGGTTGGCTCTCAGCCGCCGGAACACGCGGAACGCCGGCGGAGACACGCTGTCCATATGCTGCAGGTACTCGCCCAGTTGCTCCATGCCGTGCTCCTTGTCGCCCAGCGACAGCGACAGCAGCGCCCGTCGGTACAGCGCCTCCTCTGACCAATTAACAATCTCCTCGGTGCTGCCGCCCGATGCTTTGGGAACCACTACCACTGCATGTGCGCTCAGCTGGCCGCGGTACGTGCCCAGTGCCTGCGCGTATGTGTCCAGCGCCTCTTGCAGCTTGCCGTCCATCTCCTGGATGATCCCGCGCATCACCATCTGCGCAATGTATAGCTGCTTGTTGTAGTCTGCCGACAGCGAGCTTTCCTCCAGCGTGTCTGGCACCGATGCCAGCACCTCGCCACACTTTGCAAACTGCGCTGCGTAAAAGTACACCTTGGCCAGCACCACCTTGTATTGCTACAAGAGCTTTAGGGGGTTAGGGCCAATGCACACGAACAATGTCTGGTTTCCGACAAAACCTCCAGCTTCATAGCAGACAACTTACATATCCCTCGTCGCTGGTCATTTTGCGCTTGCCCACACTGACCAGGTCCTTTTCGATGTCGGCCAGCAGCGTGCTACTGGCGATATTCATCGGATATGCGATCTGTATCCGCCCGTTGCCCGTCATTTCGCCGTCGCCCTTCCAGTGGTTGCGCCCACTCCACTTGACGCTCTGCAGCTTCTCCTCCAGCAGCGCCTCGCTCCTCACCAGCTGCGAGAACACTACAGTGGCGAATTCTTTAAGCTTTGGGAAACTAAAACCTCCTGGTGCTGTTTTGTTTCTGCCCACCTTACCTTGCCCAGACTCGGCATGCTTGGCATACCGTGTGGCCAGCTCGCCTAGTGTACTCCACCGCCCAACGCACCGCGCTGTGTCGATTTCCTTCAGCACTGCATGATGACGAGAACTCAGCATTTTATTGTTTTTTTGCGGAGTATTAGAATTCGAGTTTTATAAAATCGGAGGAAAGCGAAAGCATAGCGGAGAAACAAAAAAAAGCAGTTCCTAAAATTCCGCCTCCTAAATAAACAAGCCTATCCCCCCTATCCACAAAACACCGGGGTCTGGAACCTTAGACAACCACAAGAGCACGATAAATGACGTCGCGTAGCCGGTAAAACTCGGGTGAGACATTTCCCTGGATCCGCAGCTTGCCGCCAATACGCGAGACCGCCAGTAAATTGCTGCACACAAGCACGCCGTCGCTTGAGAACTCGGCCGCCAGCCCGCTTTCGCGCAGCCGCCGCCGCAACAGACTGAGCTTGGCGTCGCCCACAAACACGGGCCTCTGCCACGCATTCTCCAGCGCCGCCACATCCACATCCAGCACCGGCTCCTCGGCGTCCTCTGCATAGCGGATCCGCCCAGATACGTGCCCCAGCT